TCACTTGGCTAGCTCACTGGATGTGTTATGCTTCATCACCCCCCCCCCCCCCCCATAAGGTGGAGCATGGATGTCCTGCATGCCCAGCTTAAATTGGCAATCATCAAACAGAGGTTTCGACAGCCCTTTTGTGAAACTGTCTGCAAGCTGCTTGTTGCTAGGAATGGCAAGGAATCTGATCAACCCTTCTTGAACTTTATGCCTCACCACATGGCAATCAATATCAATATGCTTAGTACGCTCATGGAATACATGATTTTCTCCAATAGCCACTGCTGACTTGTTATCACAATATAAGATGGTAGGCTCAGCAATGTGAACCTGCAAATCTTTGAGGAGATAAGTAAGCCACTGTATCTCACAAGTGGTAGTAGCCAAGGCCCTATATTCAGCCTCAGAGGATGATCTAGACACAGTTGCTTGTTTTTTTGTTTTCCAGGAGATTAGAGAGTTCCCTAGAAAGATGCAATATCCAGTGATGGATTTCCTTGATTCAGTACAAGTTCCCCAATCTGAATCTGAGAATCCTTGTAGTTTGGCAGGAGAATTTGCAGCATAGAATAAGCCTCTGCCAGGTGTTCCTTTTAAGAATCTAAGCACTCTATGTGCAGCCATGAGATGAATATCACTTGGTTTATCCACAAACTGGCTGAGTTGTTGTACAACATAGGATATATCTAGTCTTGTGTTAGTTAGATATAGAAGTTTCCCCACAAGTCTTCTATAATGCTCAGGATTAGCAATTGGCTTCCCATCAGTAGTGTTCAATCTTTGACCTGTGGTGAAAGGAGTCTTGGCAGGTTTAGCTTCTAGAAATCCATTCTCCTTCAAGATATCTAGAGTGTATTTTCTTTGACACATATTGATGCCTTTAGAACTCCTAGAAGCTTCAATTCCCAGAAAATAGTGTAGCTGTCCAAGATCTTTTATTTTGAAGGAAAGATCCAGGAACTGTTTTAGCTTTGTGATCTGTGTTGAATCTGTACCAGCTATCAAGATATCATCCACATATACTAGTAATGCTGTAAGGGATGTACCTGATCTCTTTGTGAACAGGGAAGGATCAGCAGTAGACTGACAGAAACCATCAGTTAGAAGGGCATGAGTGAGTTTTGCATTCCATTGTCTGCTGGCCTGCTTGAGACCATACAGTGACCTGAGCAACTTGCACACCTGATTAGGTCTATCATTTACAAAGCCTGGTGGAAGGACCATGTAAACCTCTTCCAGCAAATCCCCATGAAGGAATGCATTATTGATGTCAAGCTGTTGGATTTCCCAATTCAAAGCCACAGCTACTGCCAAAAAGCTACTGACCTAATTCAAGCTAATGCACACTCAAAACATATCTTTAAGGAAATATTTTTTTAAGTCTTCAGGCAAGACTTTTGAATGAGTGATGCTTATTGTTTCAAGGAGATATTGCAGCAAAAATTAAGGGTGGTTGCATCTAAAATGTTTATTATTTAAAGGAGTATGGTGTGGATGTCAGAAAAAGAGAATTGAAGATTAAAAAGCTAAATTCTTAGCAATTCAAAGGTGGAAGAAATTTGCTGCAAATTACAAGGTTAATTCTTATATTAGTTCTCCTCCATATATTTCCCTACACACTAAAGCTACTCGTACCGCATATATATTGTGTTAGTGGATGAGTTTTCATGGTTGAGGCTTGGAGGTTATTTTTGAAGATAAAAGGATTAATTTCTACATTCCGTACCTACCATCCTCCTCTGATTATTCTATCATTTTATTCAAGTGGTGAAGGTTTCTCAACTGGTTCAAGTTGTGATGAAGATAACCTGCACGTCAAATCCATGGTGATGCTGGAGTAGGCGCTGGAGTAGTGTAGTTTATGCTTTAGTGTGTAATGTACTCCTCCTTTGTACTCCTTGTTGATCATCTAGTGGATTGGGCTAGGGTGAGTGGGCCCGCAGACGTAGAAGTGAGGCCCCGAACTGTGTGAACATTTCCTGGTGCACGGTTCTGTTTATTGCTTTTATAATTAGTTTCTTTATTCTGTCTGGAGTAGATCCTGGAGCCAATTCAGCTTAATAATTGAATTAAAGTTTAGTAGGAACCTTTAGGCTATCTCTTGAATTCAAGATCCACGAGCTTTTTCACTTGGTATCAAACCCCGGGGACTTAAAATATTAGTCTAACCGATCTGGCTTACTCGTGTTTCTTGAACTCAAGATCTCAGTTTTTGTTCTTGATTCTACTTTTCTGGTCAATCTTCTTTGGCTTACTGTGCATTGAGTTTTGTAGAATGGAACGACATAGAGGACCTCCTGAATTAACAGGTGACAACTATGCGTACTGGAAGGCTCGTACCAAAATGCACCTACGAGCTCATGGGTAGATAATCTGGAGGGCAATTCTCACTGGGTGGACTCATCCTACCAGAGATGGAGCAACTTCAGGAGCTCCTCAAGTTCTCAAACCAAAAACAGGATGGACAAATGCTGAGATGACTACTGCGAACTACAACAATAAAGCCTTAGATATTATTTATTCCGTAATGCATGAGAGTCAGTTTACCCTTATTACAGGTTGTGACTCTGCCAAAGACGCATGGGAGATTTTGGAAACTACCTATGAAGGAACTAACTCAGTCAAGTAGTCCAAACTTCAAATGGTCCAATCTGACTTGGAAGATCTAAAAATGATAAAAGATGAATCAATAGTTGATTTCCATGCCCGTGTTCAGGAACTAGCAAATCGTGAATCGTTCTAGGCGAACCTTTCTCTCAACCTAAACTTGTCAAGAAGATCTTGCGCTCACTCCCTCCACGATTTAGATGAAGGTCACGGCAATTCAAGAACATGACGGGTGGGAGAACAAAACAGTAGCACAATTAATGAGAAACTTGCAAACCTATGAGACGGAAATACTCTCTGACCAACCCAGAAAGAAGAAGAACATTGCCTTTACAGCTGAAGAACATGAGTCTGTATCTGATCCAGACGAGGTAAATGATGATCCAGTTGAATTTTAACTAAACAATTTTCGAAGCTTTTGAAACAGGTGAAGCAGATGATCAACTCTCAAAATGGAAACTTTCAAAACCAGAAGGGATCAACATCAAATGCATCACATAACAACCAAAAAACTAGATCATCTAATATTCGTCCATCACAAAACAATCAGTCTAGGGAGAAATCAAATGGAAAAGGCATTAGGTGTTATGAATGTGAAGGTTTCGGCCATGTTCGAGCAGAATGCGCAACATACCTAAGGCGTAAGAAGTGGATGAAGGTAGCTCTAACCTAGAGTGATGATGACGAACCTGAACCTAATCCTGATCCAGAAGAGATCTCCGGTAACCTTATGGTATTCACTACAATAGCCAACATGGAGTCCCACCTAGAAGCTGAAGTAGACTCAGAAGCTGGAGAATATGTGTCAGCCGAAGACCATGATTTACTAGTTCCCTCATTTGAAGTAGAATATAAAAAGTTGTATGCAAAATGGGAAATTCTTGTAAAAGTAAATAGATCCCTGTCTAGTCAAGTCAGTAATCTAGAGAATGCTAGGAAAGTGTATAAAAATCAAATTACTGACAGGGACAACATCATCAAAGACGGGCTCAAACGCGAAGAAGAACTCAAACAAGAGTTGGACATGCTCAAAAGGAGAATTAAAATGATGAATAACACTTCCACCATCGACCAAAACTTGGATTCTGGAAGGACAACATCTACCAAGTATAGTTAAGGTTTTTCTGGCGGAAAAGACAAGGTTGTGACAGTTTTTGTAAAAGCTTCTGACTCTGACTCAGCACTTGGACCAGATTCAGATACTCCAGAAACTAGTACAGCGCGGGAAAGGTTTGGTAATGTAAGGCGTGACAATCCAAAATTTAAATTCTATAACCCTATTTGTCATTAACTACAATCATTAACTGTATAGGGTTCGTGGCTATACAGACCTTAGTGTTTTTACTTTTATAAAGATCAAAGGCGTGAGAAGTACACCCACAAACACATTACACCGTTTGTAAAACAAGTGTGGATTAGGAAAGCAGATTTTACATCCCAGTTAACTACAATCGCATCTCAAGGGAAACTAGCAGAAGACAGAGGAATTGGATTAGAGAATCTGCAAATACAAGATTGAAGGGTCATCATCGAAATAAAAGCAGGTATTTTATAATTCAATAAGTTATGTTTTTTTTAAATTAAACCTCACGCATATTAAGCACAAGCCTCGCACATGTTAAGTACAAGTCTCACGCATGTTAAGCACAAGCCTCGCGCATGTTAATCACAAAAACACTAGCACCTTAAGTTTTAAAAAACAACTCACATTAAGTACACACTCACGCACATTAAGTACAAAACTCACGCACCTTAAGCACACGACTCACGCACATTAAGCGCAAAACTCACGCACATTAAGCATAAAACTCATGCACTTTAAAGTTTCAACAACAACTCACATTAAGTACACACTCACGCACATTTAGCACAAAACTCACGCACCTTAGGCACAATACTCAGACACCTTAACTAAAAAAATCACGCACACTAACATTACACACTCACGCACATTAAGTACAAAACTCACACACACTAATCAACCGCACAACCTCACGAGAAGCACTCAACCGCACTGGAACCTTTCAAAATATATATATATATATATATATATATATATATATATATACATAGTTAGTTAGTTAGTTAGTTAGGTTCAGGTGCGGCGGAATCTTCTCGTGCGGCGTCACCAATAGTTAAGCAAATATATATCATCAATGTTATGAAATGCACCACAAAAACACACACAAATTAGGTACGCATCACCAAAAATACACATTAGGTGTGAGTAAACGCACCATATAGTGTTTTGAAATACACCATTAGGGTGGTGAGTTATATAGTGTATTTTTTTTGGGTGTGTTGTGTATTTTTTGATATATTTTTGCATTTCATTATGGTGTGTTTTCCTTACACTGTTGGTGCTTATCGTTAACACTGTTGGTGTATTTTGGAACTCCGCC